TTCTGTTATTAGGCAGACTATGTTCCTCATCACACATTTATACGTGCTTTATATATATATTTAATCTGTAAACAATTAATTTCTAGTTAGTTATGTCTAAAATTTTTGGGGAAAAAATCTTGAGGAGGAGTTCCGTGGAAAGTTTCTGTACGTTTTATCACAAATGTGAACAAATCATGATGGTCCAATATACTCATGGGTTAAGACATGTGAGTCGCTGCCGTCAGTGTTACAAAGGGGTTGAATCGACACAATGCTGACGTATTGGTACACAGATATTTAGGCAAGTTTTCCAAAGAGATATGAATTATTGAAGACTGTTGCCATTGTGTCTCTTGGGGAAGATATGTGGGCCCAAGAGATTCAAAATGAGTCCTTAGCCTAAGTAGACATTTATGCAGACATTTCTTAAAATTGTAATAAGCCATGTATCTGTTAAAGTATGATTAATTTTAAGCATTAAGTGCATTTGAGACAGAATAAGCTTATCAGGAAAATATTACTGTTTGTTTACATAAAAGGAAAAGTTTTTCAAAAGCAAGTATGAGCTCATCCTTTAAGTTGGAACTATACCACAGATTGTCCCACTAATCATATACCTTTCTGGAGAAATGTTTTTGTTAGTTTAAAAATGGATAATGCAGTGATTTCCTTCATTCTTAATTGTAGTTTCCCTGTGGATGTATTAAAAATCTTTTGAAATAAATTATACTTTGTTACTAAATCCAAGTTTTGCGTCTGATAATGTGATACGTACCATTGGGCTGATCACTGCAATGTCACAATATTGTTTTCCATTTTTATTTGAATGTAAATCACCAAATGAGAGGCAACGAGCTTTCAAATTGCTAAGGTCATTTCTCTGTGACCTTACTAGATGACTTTGACAAGTGTTAAAACTGTGATGAATGGAAATAAACAACAGTATCACAGAACACAAGATTTCTTGATAATTGTGGGTCAGACTTAGAGAATGAGTACCATGCTGTCCCCAAGAAATTTGCCTCTTCACCAGTTCCCTGAAAGAAATGAGTCACACTCTGAAATGCTGGAGATCTGAGATATTCCCATACTAGATGAGAAACATGTTGCAAAGGAGAAAGTCCAAACTTAAAATCTTTCTAAGGTAACAGACACAAGAGAATCCTTAGTCTGTCTTGAGCTCCATAGTAAATAATATTTTCTTAATTATTTTGGGTTTCGCTACCACATCTCATTCCGCACTCTACCATCTCTCTTTTGGATGATGCTTGTTCAAAGTAAGATTTCTCTCTGTGACGTCCTCTGAAAATATTTTGGAATTAAATGTATTTAGCTAAGGAAATCTTCCTTTGTATGTATGTGTGTATTGAAACAATTTTACTTACCACATCTTTCCATAAGTGCATTGTATATCTATTGAACCCTTGTCAGGAACGTGCCAACATGCTGCTGTTCTTCCTGTATGGTAAAATTTGTCAGGTATAAAACATTAACGGCTACTACAGTTACTCATATGTATAGGTGTGTAAAGAATTTGTGGCATGCCTTAGAAATAAGGGTAAATATTAGTAGAGAAATACTAGGATACAAATACAAGCTATGTGACAAATAGAAGAATATTAACTATCAGTGGGTATTAATGCTATTCCATTATAGCCAATATAGCCTAATATCAAGCCACATCTTACTCATCAACAGAAAGTAAAATTTCCTAAACAATAACCATTGCTTCAATTAAAATGACTCAAAGTTTAGGTTTTGGGGTTTTTTTTTGGTTGGGTTTTTTTTGTTTGGTTGGTTGTGGTTTGTTTTTTTTCCTACTGCAGCTTCTACACTATCTGTAATTTTGATGAACGTGGTTTGAAAATCTGGTACTCTTTTACAGTCTGTCTATTTAGTATCAAGTACAACAATTCTTAGCTTGGACAAAACTTACAGGGTAATACGAAGAGAGAGATACCTCAATTTAGCAAATGTTTGGTTATGTGCATAACTTAGGCTGTGGGTAGTCTAACTTTATTGGCCTTGTAACTCTTATACCTCATACTATGATAGACCGCAAAATTTGGATTGCTATAATGCTTGCAAGAAGCTTCTCCTGTAATAATACTGTTAGAATTTCTTTAGTGAGCTATTTGGTGACCTGTTCCTCTACAACTGAAGCTACCACCCACTTCAACCGGCTCTCCTCAAAGCTGTTTGTATTCGTAGTTACCTTCCACTGCAGCAAGAACTTCTGATGCATATGTCACCAATACTTGAAGACATAACTGTCACATGTCAGTGCTGTCACTGTCAAAATATTCCTGTGAATATTAAGAGTAATATGATCTATACAAATCTCTTTGGAAAATAGCTTAGGGCCAAACGTCGGTATGTGGTAGGGAAAACAAATAGCTGTCTTTCTGCTGGTGCGCAGGCTTACTCAGAAACGTGATTCAGGACTCCAGCCAGTGTTTGTGCAAAAACAATCCTAACCCTGGATGATATTCCATAAAATTAAAGTTGCTCTAACTGAATGCTTAGCTCAAAGGTAATGAAAACTGTTCTATATTTGACAGGGAATTATATACTGTACATAAAATAACAGCAAAACAGCAATAAACAAACCCTCCTGTTCTTGCTTCTCCTAAAATTGGAAATAAAGCTAAATTGCCCCTTCACTCCAATATCCTTTTTAGAAGCTCTTGAGTTTTGCTCACTCAGTGGTATATTGCTGAAAAGGCAAAGTCTCTTCCAGTAATTTTAGGAAAAGCTATCATCAAGCTGTCAACAGTCTAAATTGAGATTAAAAGTACCAAAGAGAAACCTTCACTATTATCAGAGTCCCAAATAAGTACACTTGAATAGGCAGATAACATCTAGAGTGTACAGTATGAGACCACTTATTCCTCCAGCTTTTGGAGTGATTTACAGGGATGAAGTCTTATGTTAAATAGTTAGTGACATTTTTCTTCTTGTCTTACCCAGAACAACTAGGCCCAAAGAAAAGAGAGAGTTGTGAACAGATGCCTGTTCTTGGAATTCATTTCAGATGTTAATTGCTGGGTGTTAGGGGCATCTGTCTCATCCTCTGAGATGTTACGTGCCCTCAGCTCATATTGGTCATCAGAGGGAAGATTTCCAATACTTCATAGTCCAGGGTAGATTGAGCTGCATGTTTACAGTTCGCTAAAGTCAAAGGATTATTCATTCCAGCTGAAGGTGAGAGTTGGCTCCGTAACATTACCTCTCAAAAGGAGGTGAGAAAGCAGAGGCAGGATTTTCTAGATTTTTATTCATATCCAATAAGTAGCACCCTTGCTGGTTAGGCAAACCTGTCTCTATTAAGATGTTTGTTTTGATGCATGATGCATCTTCAAGTTATGACCTGAGTTTTGCTAGGGACAAAAACGGGACTATAGCTATGATCTGACATAGAAATTGACAGCTGGTCTCCAAAAGCAAAGGCTTAGTATACTAATCTACTCAGCCATTTACCTCTTAACATTTTAATGTTCTATCATCTAGGAGTCCAACAGCTATGACAAAGAAGATTTCTAAGTTACAGCCCTTAACAAACTATTACCATGATTAATTTTCATTATTGTGGATTTCTGATTGTTGTTCTCAGGTTTAGTCTGGCAATTAAGATTTGAATTAGTATTTAAGCCTTTTCTTCTCCAAAACATTATAGCCCTATTTTACACTTTCATCTTAGCCAGACATTGTAAATCTGGTTTTGAATTCATTTCAATTAAAAAAAAAAAAATTTGAGGATATGATTAATTACAAAACAAGAAGTAAGGTTGAGGTGGATTCCTTGGATTGGCTTTTGCAGCTTATATGCCAATATATCATTAAGGAACAACCTGCATAGAAGGTAGCAATTATTTCCTCAAGACTCCCTTTAGTAAATTATCATGAGATTCAAGAAATAGTTTAACTTTTGTATTTCTTCTCTTTATTTGCCTTATCTTTTTTATTAGAAATTATCATGTAACTTTTAGTGAACACTGTCCTTTGTGTCTTCTATTAAGACCCAACATCTTTTTATGTACGTTGCAATGGGTAGTTTGTAAACCCTCCAGAGAAAACTCTATACCTGAAACTGGACATGTCACTACCATGATATCAATCCATCTAACTTAAGCTAAATTTTAAAAACTGTGATGATGATTCATATTCACCAACACGATCCTTTATTTTCATATCTCCTCCTAACAACACAACCTGCTGCTCTGTAACTAAAAAGCAAGATGGTAAATGTGGCTTGTCTTGGCTTTATATTGTTCTTTCCTTCAGATGAAACCTCCAACTGGATGAAGATTAGTTTATTGCAAACTATAGCTCCACAGTCTAATCGTTTTAAATCGGAATCATAGGATCTTGACATGTTTATTATGGGAAAGGATTTGGGTTTCCTCTCTTCTCCCTTAACGTTTTGCTTTTAAGGGTTCTGAGCAAGTCTTTTTGGTACTTACTTCTTTAAATGCATTAGACTTCTGGTGTGGGTTTTAAGTGTTTATTATTAACAATTCTATATACTTGTCCACTTTTTTGCATTATAGGCATTATAATTTTTAAGAGATCCCTTCATTTAGCTCACAGGACAGTGGAATGGAAGAATCAGGTTTTTGCTTAGTTCTGAAAAATATGGTACCTTTCTATTTTCTGTCTCCTTTCTCACATATGGAATCGCTCATAACTTCCTTCAGGTAAATATTAATCTGTTTCACCAAGAGGAACATTTTTAACATTGCCCAGAGATTTCCTGATAAAGATGGTAATATTTCGAAGCTGTGAGCTCTATGAAAATATTCTTTTAGTAATGATACCTAATATCATTGTGTAAACTCTTGTGAGTACAACTACCTTGAAGGATTGCCGGCAGCCTTAACAAAAACAAATTAATCCTCCATGGCTGGCGACTCTGTGCACCTGTAACCACATCATAGAACTCGTCCTGCAGGTGCAGCCTCTTTGCGTAGTCATTGACTTTCACTCAGAGTACTGATAATATTTGTTTTATCACACAGGCCTCCAGTGATGCTGCCTCCACCTCTCCAGAGATGCATTATACACCTCTGCCTTCGGGATCCAGAGACCTCACCAATCACAGAGGTACGAACTAAACTTTTCTCGGTATGAACTGCTGCAAGGTGGTAGGCTTTGCTGTAAGGCCTTCTCTGTATTAGCTGGTGCTGCATCGGCACTTTACAGAGAACACTGTGCCGTTCAAGCGCTAGATGAGAAAACCATACCTGTCAAGACTACAGATTTTAACTCGTATTAAATAGGATTTAAAGGTAGTCTACTGGGAAAGCAAATAAATCTATGGATAATAACATTCAGTGATATTTTTTTGTGTGTGAGAGAAAAAACGTAGAGAGATTAGAGTACTTAAATATTGCTAAGTAGATGATTACATGCAGCATTGGTAATTTTGAGAGAATTTGTAAACTTTCTAATATTTGTAAAGAGAGAGCTTTTTGGCAGTTTAACAATTTAGGGCTGTAATTTTGAAATGTTAACACATTTTCATTGCAATAAAAAGGGATTCTTCTCTGTTTTTCAACATTAAAGGTGGATCAGTGTTCCATTTCCTTTTCCACCAATCCTTAGAACTTAAAAAGCACCTTGGGCAAATTCTCAAATTCCTTCTGCATACCTGTGGAGCAAAAAGTTCAGGGAACAGGTGAAAAACTGAAGCAGTCAGGAAGGGTGCATTCCAAGCTCTTTCACCTTTGTTGTAAAAAGGAGACATTTATAAAGCTTGCAGCATTTTTCAGCTTAAAAGCAGAGCAACAATACTCTTACTTATTTCCCACATTACAGATTGTACAGATCACGTAAACCATTTGCATAGAGGCAGGTTTTGTATAGGGCACCAGAATCAAAGTCAGTCTTACATTTATGACTTGATGGTAGCTTAGTTTTAGTGTATGTTCAAATTATGCAGGACTGCAGAAGATTGAGGCAGCGTTAGTGGAATGCCTTATTACTTGAAACCTTCTGAAAGAATCAGGCAGGCAATGCAACTGAACAAGGATCCGTGATTCAGGTGGGAAGGGGATGAGGAAAGCAACTGGTTAGACTTAATTTGTTGCAGCCTATATCACTGCTGTTGTGCCAGGGCTAAAGATGGGTGTGAAGCTACATCCTGCTCTTGGTGTAAATGGATATGGTGTGCTGGAAATTAGATGTCCTGAAAGTGCTGTAGTGCGTTGTGTTCTGACAATGAGCTCAGGTAGTAACTGATACTTTTTGAAGAGAAAGGACCAAACCAAAATCCTGGATTTGAACACGTACCTGGTCTTCAGAGATTTAAAAAAAAAAAAAAAAAAATAAAATAACTGCAACTCCCCGTTCCTCCCGTTCCCAAGATGTGTTGTGGCTTTGATTTTTCAGGTAAGCGTATTTGCTTTGAGGTTGTATTTCTGGTGTTGGATTAAATGGCTAGAGTCTAGTAAGACAACAAGGAGAATGTTGTAAATACCTAAGTTCTATAAAAATACATAAAAAGTACCATTAAAAGCCAGGTATCCTCAGATCTGTTTATTGAGATGATAGTGAATTAGAAGTGTGGCTTCATGGCTGATTTTTGGAATCTGACTTGGCAAAAGAAATGCTAGTAGCATTAAGCATCAAAAGTTGTGTGCCTGCAGTATTGATTGACTTCTCTTGCAATAAAGCAATTGTGTGGCTCTAGTAGGCATTGCAGATATGTCTATACGGGTGTCTGTTCAGAGCTGGAGCTTACCAGGTTCTAAGTACCACTGTCTTCGCTAGGGTTTGAGAATGCCTGCTCTCTTACTATGAAAGGGGAAAATTATATTCCCCAAATTATCAACTTTTTACCCTTAGCTGTTCACATAATTCTTTACTACTTCTGTCTTTACTCTTCCCAGAAATATTCTGCTTTGCATGCTAAACATGTGCTGAAAATTTCCTTGATGATTAAGCACGGTTATAAATAAAGTGAATGCAGAAGAGAGTGTCATCCAAAAAAGGGGTAAAATTGGCCCTAAAAGAGACATTGTTAGCATGATCCAATAAGTTTATATATATATAAAAAAAATATATTCACAAGGAAATAATTAAGAAGACTTTCCAAAATTCCAGGTGTTGTAAATAAAGCTTGGAACAACCTGCTGGCAGGGCCCATTAACTCAATCAACTTCTTTTATACAAAGAAAAATCTCTAAGTTCACAAGCCCATAAAAGATTAATTGGAGTCAATAGAAAAATCTCCAAGAAAAGAATGAAATACTTAAGCATGCTATTTTAGGTTCTGAATATCTTTAATTTTTTTCTTCACTGAATGCTTTCAGTGTCGTAAAAAATGATTGAATCAGCTGTTCCATATGTAAATATTGGCAGTTTTCAATGCAAACTGGAAAGAAGAATGCTGTAAGTTTGTGAGTGCTCTTATTTGTCCCTGGAGGAACTTGTGTTTACCAGAATCTGAAACTCTGGCAAATGGTTTGGTACAGCTGTAAATTGATTTTGGGGGGATTGGGAGGGGGGAGCAGGAGCAAGCTGGATGCATTTGAATGGTACACTTTTACTTGAACATTTCTCACTCTATTTAGCTGTGAGTTTTGCAGGGAGAGCAAAAGCATATAATTCTGCATGCATCGCACCATGCATCTTATAGCTTTCATGTTCATGCATACAGTATATTATTTCCAGACAGGATCTGGTCTTTTTGGGTTGACTCCATATTTTGTATAGACAATATTCAGGAATTGTAAAGGTCTCTCTCTCACTTTCAGAGCCCACAGAAACAGCATATGACAGTGCAGCATCAGCGTGGAATGATATGGAATAATCACTGTAAATATTATATCAAGTGTTATGATGCTTGAGTATATGAGTACATGAAGAGAGCAATAAATATTGGATACACATTTTTAAGCTTTAGAAATTTTCTCCCCATCTTGGGAAAGTTGTCTTCCCTTAAATCACTTTGTTGCTTAGACCCACTTTTCTGAGTTGAACCTTTACTCGGTCCCACTGTTCATATTTTTTAGCAGAAAATACACTGGCCTTCGATGCAGGTTTTGGGCACCTGACAGCAATATGACTTGATTCTTTATGAGATCTAATTGCTGTCCCGTTAGGCAAGCCTTCCAAAGTGGTAATTTTATAGCTAGCTTTTTTTTTTGTTTTGATTCCAAAGCAATGATCTCAAACTCCTAAGGGTCTTTCCTTGGTCTTTGTTAAACTAGCATTTTGTATTTCATTTTATATGGTTTTAGACACCAGTGATTTACTTGTGTGAAATTTGTACAATTCTCTTACCCAGATAAAACAAGTCAGTTTACAGACACGTTTTCCTGTCATACAACGTGCTTCATTTATTTTTAAATTCCATTGCTTGTATGGTTCTAGTTTTCAAATTTTCTGATGAAACAAAATAAAATGGGGGCCCACCTTTCTTTCTGCTTGTCCAGAACTATCTACCTTTAAGAAGAAAAAAAGAAAAAGAAGTTACTTATTGTTGTTTTTAACTAGAAATGGCCATGCTCCCAATGCACAAAAGTAATGAAATGTAGTGCAGTTCAGTAGAAACTTGCTCCAAAAATTGTGTTTGTTTATGTCTTTTTTTTTTTTTTTTTTTTTTTAGTGGTTTGTATGTATGGCCCAGGTACCCTTCTGTTCCTTATCGACAATTTATTAACTGGGTATATATAAAATCTTAAAAAAGAGCTTTCAATTCTTAACATAGTTGAAATTGATGGAAAAAGAAATTTTAAAATTGTAATAATGTAATTTTAAGGATAATTTGCTTGATGCGTGGAAAAAGGCTCCCCACCCTCCACCCCCCTCAGGTTGTATATTCCTTTTTTGTAAGGGCATCTTTGGTAAGGAAGTTCCTTTGTTATGTGTAAGCATTCAAGCTCAAATTGCCTTCTAAAAAGAACAGTGCTTTCCAGTTGGTGGGGAAAATAGTAATATATCATTCTATCTCTTGAGAAGCAATATTACTAAATCATGACTATCATGAAAATCTGCTTTTCCCATTAAAAAAAAGTGCTGGATGCCCTTTGTATAAACAGATATTTTATAACATTGTCTATTACCTGATGTACTTGAAAACCTATTCATTTGCCAAAGCCATTTGGTTTCCAGTAACATTTTACAAATGACTCCTTTTCTTGCGCTCTTGTTTCTGGGAACAACCAGTGGTAAGTCTGCCCCATAGCTTACTGGTAAAAGGAAGAAGCAGCAGTTTCCATTAAAAACTAAGCCTGTATTTATGTAAGTAGTTTTTAGAGCCTTAGCTTGGATTTATGCCAAGGTTTAATAGTTCCAATCTATTCTGGCTTGTAAGAACTTCCTGAACAAATCCACTGTCCTGTTTTGGTGTCTATTCAGTTAATTATCCAAGTGTGCTGGTATGCACAGACATTATGTTTTCCCATTTTATATTTCAGTGATGAGTCCCCAAATGAAAAACTGTTATTTATTCTACCAAAATGTTTGAGTCAACTGACAGACACGTTTTCTTGTTTTCTGAAACAGTCTAATCTGAGTTTGAAAGTCACAAACTGCATTCAGAAGCAAGGCCCAGAAAGCCAGAGACAGAATATTTTTAAGCTTCCTATTAACCCTCTGAAGGTAATTTTATAAGGTATTTTTGAACAAAGGGAATTGTTCCTTCTGCTCTCAGATTCTCTTTTTGTCTAACAGGGGTGTGCCGAAGATTTGTTTTGGAATGAAGATCTTTCCAAACTTTCGCAAGCAAAAGCATGTAGGCATATAATCTGTTAGAGAGACACCTGAACGTGGTCTGGTTTTTTTTTCTGTGATCATTATACTGTGCTATTGTACTCGGAGTGTTTGGCATATTCAATTTTCAGTAATGACTCGAACGACTATACAGAATGCATTCTGACTGATTTTTAGGGTGTACCATACATGAAAGCCAGCTGCTAGCTTTGTAGGAGTTGAGGTATGCACTAGGTCAAGACAGAAGCGTACTTTAGAATGCACAGCAAGCATTGCGCCATCCACTTGTGCTGGAATTTACAATCCTATAGATGTCAAAGGAGACCTACTACTTTCAAAATTTGGTGTTGAAGGAAAAAGGTAGAATTTTTGGAGAGCCAGAGGGA